CTCCCAAAATATTGTGCATCATGCTATAGAGCATTTTGCTGTTGTCATGCTCTAGCATGGTTCAAATTTATGAATTTTTATTATATAAAGTATAGTGTTTTACAGAGATTTCAAGCACTGATAAAAATGATAATCTCACATGTGAGATTATCATGATAATCTCACATGTGAAAATTATCGCCTTTTCAATTATCGCTTTTCCGTAAAAATTATCGCTTTTCATTTAAAACTGTCCTTTATATAATAAACAGAAAAATACATGGGTGGTTGGAAATACCAGACTTATTTTTCGTGTTGAACATGACATCTCACTCGTTCGCTGCGCCCACTTGTTCGCTGCACACTCATGTTCAACACTCGAAATAAATTTGGTATTTCATGCACCCATGTATTATTCTCTATTTAAACTACAACTTGACTGGTTTAAATTATTATCAAGTTATCAGTGATTGTAAAAGTTGCAGATAGAAGTGCCTTGTTTTATATTATTATCAAGTTATCAGTGATCGCAAAACCTCCAAATCCTTAATTTCAAACGTTAGAATGTTAGGGTTTGTAATCCAAGTGAGAATATATACATTTTAAGACCTAACCAGGAACGACTGCGAAAAATGCAGCACAAGGTCCTCTGGTTGGAATTGAACCTACGGCCCTGCAATTCAGGTGCAGCGCTCTAACCAACTGAGCTACAGAGGCCAGCTGTAGAGCTTTAACCGTAAGTTCATGTATATTTAGGTAATCGGGTGTGCGGGTTGTGATAAGGTGGACTTCAATAACTTGGATTCTTGCACTAGTTCACTTGTTGGAATTAATATTAGAATGTTAGGGTTTGTAATCCACGTGAGAATATATACATTTTAAGACCTAACCAGGAACGACTGAGAAAAATGCAGCACAAGATCCTCTGGTAGGAATTGAACCTACGGCCCTGCGATTCCGGTACAGCGCTCAAACCAACTGAGCTACAGAGGCCAGCTGTTGAGCTGTAACCGTAAGTTCATGCATATTTAGGTAATCGGGTGTGCAGGTTGTGATAAGGTGGACTTCAATAATTTGGATTCGTGCACTTCACTTGTTGGAATTAATATTAGAATGTTAGGGCTTGTAATCCAAGTGAGAATATATACATTTTAAGACCTAACCAGGAACGACTGCGAAAAATGCAGCACAAGGTCCTCTGGTAGGAATTGAACCTACGGCCCTGCGATTCCGGTGCAGCGCTCTAACCAACTGAGCTACAGAGGCCAGCTGCTGAGCTTTAACCGTAAGTTCATGTATATTTAGGTAATCGGGTGTGCGGGTTGTGATAAGGTGGACTTCAATAATTTGGATTCTTGCACTTCACTTGGTGGACTTATTAGAATGTTAGGGTTTGTAATCCAAGTGAGAATATATACATTTTAAGACCTAACCAGGAACGACTGCGAAAAATGCAGCACAAGGTCCTCTGGTAGGAATTGAACCTACGGGGCCCTGCGATTCCGGTGCAGCGCTCTAACCAACTGAGCTACAGAGGCCAGCTGTTGAGCTTTAACCGTAAGTTCATGTATATTTAGGTAATCGGGTGTGCGGGTTGTGATAAGCTGGACTTCAATAATTTGGATTCTTGTATAACTTCACTTGTTGGAATTAATATTAGAATGTTAGGGTTTGTAATCCAAGTGAGAATATATATACATTTTAAGACCTAACCAGGAACGACTGCGAAAAATGCAGCACAAGGTCCTCTGGTAGGAATTGGACCTACGGCCCTGCGATTCCGGTGCAGCGCTCTAACCAACTGAGCTACAGAGGCCAGCTGTTGAGCTGTAACCGTAAGTTCATGTATATTTAGGTAAACGGGTGTGCAGGTTATGATAAGGTAGACTTCAATAATTTGGATTCTGGCACTTCACATGGTGGACTTAATATTAGGATGTTAGGGTTTGTAATCCAATGAGAATATATACATTTTAAGACCTTACGAGGCCGAAGGCCGTGAGACGCTTTTGAGGACGATGGAAAATATTTTTTAGAACGGACGGAACTAAACGGTAAATAACGTGTTCATTTTTTTTATTTGATAGTTCACGGTTATAATGAATACAGTTAAATTCCAGTTATTGTAAGTACATTTGAGATCAGTTGGGTTTGTTACTTTTGTGCAAGCATGGCTGAGAAACTGCTAAACGACGCGATAAAAGTTGGATAAAAAGCTTTTAGTTTCATTGCAATTGATGCTTTTCTACTCAAGAAGAAAACAGAAGGTAAACTAAGTAAAAATATTTATATTCCGGTTTCTTTTACATCATGGACATGCTCGAAAAATGCTTTTGGACAGAAAATACATTTTTTAGTTGCCGAAAAACAATTTGTTCATTACAACTTTTATAAAAACCATTTTGACCGAAATAAGCCTAGGAAGTGTCTTTAAACTTGGCATTTAAAGTACTTTTTAACATTTTATGTTTAAGGACAAGTTGTACGTTTTCCATCAATCAATTGTTTCCGCCCAGGATCGAACTGAAGCCTTGCGCGTGTTAGGCGCACGTATTGACCGCTACACTACGAAACCTGCATGCCGGTAAATGTTCGCCAATGGCTAATTCATTCGCAGATGAGAACGTTTTACCTGGGAGAAGTCTTCTTGATATATCGTGTAATATCGCTGTGTGGATCTAATTAAATTTTAAATAATTAAATGTTAATCAGCTAAAAAAATTCGTCGTGGTGTCAGTTTGAAGCAGCACATTGACAGTGAAGATTGACAGTGAATCTCGCGTTCTCCACATCACTCAATCTTGAGATCAATCGCGGGAGACAGCTATCATATTCATTGCTTCGTTAAATATTGGGCGGTAGGCCAGATCTCGACTGCCCGTCAATGAATTAATCAGTGTTTAAAAAAAATGTCACAACTCAACTAAAAAAGTCACAACGCAAGTAAGGAAAAGGCGACAACGCGAATAAAAAGCCACAACGCAAATAAATAAAAAAGTCACAACGCAAGTAAAAAAAATGTTATAACGCAAATAAAAAAAGTCACAACGCAAGTAAAAAATGTCACAACGCAAATAAAAAAGTCAGAACGCAAGTAAAAAAAGTCACAACATAAGTAAAAAAAAGTGTTACCGGATATAGGACCCTTGGACAAAACCCCAGTGAATCTTGTTCTAAATCTAATAACAACAAGATGGCCGAACGAGAGATAATTACCCACAATTTTCATCTTGGTTACCCAAATGAAATCATTAGGCAGTTGTTGTTGAATTACCATGAAGTAATGATGAGTTTAAGGACTCTCAAACGTAGATTGCGTGATATCGGCTTGAGAAGGAATGGCAATATAAACGAGGATTTGGAAGGGAGAATTAGGCAAATCAATGAAATCATTGACAACAAAATATCGAATGGTTCTGGTGCATCTTTGGGTTACAGATCAATGTGGCACTTACTTCGATTACGATATCATATTCACGTCCCTCGTCGAGTTGTGGCGCAGGTCATTCAAGAAATTGATCCCGAAGGTGTGCAGCAATTCAGCAAAGGCGACGAAGACGGCTGTCAAGGAGACGATATATAAGTTCTGGCCCAAACTTTTGCTGACCCCATGGAATGGAAACCCACAAGGTTTTACTTATCATATCCTGCAGAAGATAAAATACATTTAAACTTTAAGAAGTTTCATATTAGGCAAAAAAGTAGTTGTATAAAAATTGTTTTTGATAACTAATTCAATTTAATTTTTACAACATGAATTGTAGCTTCCAGACTGTGTTGGTAATCTTAATAGAAAATCATCACATCGAGATTATCCCCGAGTCACTAATTCCCCCCGGGTACTAATTCCCCCCGGTTATTTACACCCGGGGAAACGAAACCATTAACGAAGTCTAAAGTTCATCAATAATCACGGGCGTGGGTCACTGTGCGTGTTTTGGTGGGTCAGAGGTGGGTGGTCATCCTCACTGATCTCATAATATAGCGGGCTGTCATGAATAGCCAACCAGTATTGGTCCAATTTAAAATTGGCATTATAACGGCTGCATGACGACAGCGAAATTGATTTGATGATTTCTTGCAAATATATTTCATTTTTGAAAGATTTTGTAAATTTCAAAAGATTTTTGATGAAATAAAATTGCTAAAATGTTAAAAGAACTATGTTAAAAGAACACTTAAAAACGTTTTGCGAAGCGTTTGTGGTTGAATTTTACCTTAAATTGAAGCTTATATTTTGTATAATAACATACCTAACATATATATGTTTGGCAAATTGTTAATTTTATAATTAAAAGTGATATTTTTAGGGGATTTTGCATTTGTAAAAATATTCTTAAAAAATTATCGTGTTACCATGAAAACAACTTTAAATACTTCACGTTCGGAAAATACAATGGTTTTGCAGCAAGGCGAGGGTTTCTGCATGCATGTATTTTCTAGCTGTATTTATGCAATAGGTATTTGAACCAAGTACTCATTACAACAACACACAAACGTATAAACTTTACTCTGTTCACCTACCGTAAATTCCAATCTTCTTTTTATCATTACTATAGTACACATCCCTCGAGATGTACAGACAGTACACTACATAGTCATTTAGAATATTTACATGTACTGATTAAACAATTACTAACATCGACATGCCAGCAAAAGTTTGGGCCAAAACTTATATATCGTCTCCTTGACAGCCGTCTTCGTCGCCTTTGCTGCACACCTTCGGGATCAATTTCTTGAATCGACGAGGGACTTGAATATGACATTGTAATCGATGTAAGTGCCACATTGATCTGTAACCCAAAGACGCACCAGAACCATTCGATATTTTGTTCTCAATGATTTCATTGATTTGCCTAATTCTCCCTTCCAAATCCTCGTTTATATTGCCATTCCTTCTCAAGCCGAAATCACGCAATCTACGTTTGAGGGTCCTTAAACTCATCACTATTTCATGGTAATTCAACAAGAACAGCCTAATAATTTCATTTGGGTAACCAAGATGAAAATGGTGGGTAATTATCTCTCGTTCGGCCATCTTGTTGTTATTAGATTTAGAACAAGATTCACCGGGGTTTTGTCCAAGTGTCCTATAGCCGGTTACACTTTTTTTACTTGTGTTGTGACTTTTTTTTACTTGCGTTGTGACTCTTTTATTTGCGTTGTGACTTCTTTCATTTATTTGCGACGTGGCTTTTTATTCGCGTTGTCGCCTTTTCTTTAGTTGCGTTGTGACTTTTTTACTTGTGTTGTGACATTTTTTTTACTTGCGTTGTGACTATTTTAATTGTGTTGTGACATTTTTCTACTTGCGTTGTGACTTTTTTTCTTTGGGTTTTTTTTTTCCTTGCGGTGTGACTTTTTATTTGCGTTGTCGCCTTTTCTTTACTTGCGTTGTGACCTTTTTTACTTGCGTTGTGACATTTTTATTTGGGTTGTGTCTTTTTTATTTGCGTTGTGAGTTTTTTTCTTTTCGTTGTTAGTTTTTTTATTTGCCTTGTGACTTTTTTTTGCGTTGAGAGTTTTTTATTTGCGTTGTGATTTTTTATTTGCGTTGTTAGTTTTTATATTTGCTTTGTGACTTTTTTATTTGCGTTGAGAGTTTTTTATTTGCGTTGTGACTTTTTTATTTTTGCGTTGTGAGTTTTTTTATTTGCGTTGTGATTATTTTTGTTTGCGTTATGACTTTTTACTTGCGTTGTGACTTTTTTATTTGCGTTGTGACATTTTTATTTGCATTGTGAGTATTTTTTAATTGCGTTGTGAGTTTTTTATTTGCGTTGTTGGTTTTTTTATTGGCGTTGTGTTTTTTTTGTTTGCGTTGGGACTTTTTCTTTTAGTGTTAGTTTTTTTTAAGCGATGGCCCTTTTGGGCCACCGTAAATATCAAAACTTGTTATTTACACTATAAAACAACACATACCTACTCTGAGAAGGGGCAACAAAAACTCATTTTTTTCCATTCCTATCCAATTCAAATCATGCTGGCCACGAAAACAAGTTCCTGATTGCCGATACAATAAATTTCCAAATGACTGACAATTTGGGCTAGCGACGCCCCTGAATGCTACAATGATAGCAATTTCTATTGCTATTACATCTCCAACCTTGAATGTCCTATTTAGTACAGTAGTTAATTAATTAATGACAGTTATCAAAATGAAGTCAAGTACATTTCTGGCCATTGGTGAGAAATATTGTCCAGAAGCACACTGGAATAACAAAAAAGTGCACTAAGAGCATTGTGGCTATCTAATTAGATAATTAACCAAAGATAGCTGGTAGACATGCAGATGGACTAGTTAACCAATTCAAATACCAATAGGCCTACTTTCCCCCCTTGCCGAGAAAAGATTCTGGCGTTAAACAGCTTAAAATTACAAAGTAAGGCAAACTAAGGCACATTGCAGCTTAACTTGCTCCAACTCTATCATTACAAACTGTAAATTTTTAATACTAAAATTCCTATCCAGACAGAAAATTTGGTTACATGCAATTCAATAATTTGAAAGTGCTGTTGCATTCCTAACCTACTAAACTGCTTGCAAATATTAAAGGAAAGCTATAAGGGAAGTTAAAAAATAAAACAAGGATTTGGTTTATAAACTGTTAATCCCCGAGCCGACGGCGCGAAGCGCCGTTCGACGGTACTGATTCCCCCCCGGCTATTTACACCCGGGGAAACGAAAGCATTAGCGAAGTCTAAAGTTCATCAAATATCGCGGGCGTGGGTCACTGTGCGTGTTTCGGTGGGTGGTCATCCTCACTGATCTCATAATATAGCGGACTGTAATGAATAGCAACACTGATTGGTCCAATTTAAAATTGGCATTATAACGGCTGCATGACGATTGACGACTGCGAAATTGATTTGATGATGTCTTGCAAATATATTTCATTTTTGCAAGATTTTGTAAATTGCAAAGGATTTTTGATGAAATAAAGGCAAGATGATTGCTTAAAGAAATAAGTAAAGGTGCCGACGCTAACGAAGGTAAGTTTGTTTTAAATATTGATGCATTGTTTGCTTTTAATATACTGTAATCTCGCCTGTAATTACTTTAAAAGCCGATCGTTGCGTATATAAAATACTAGAAAATACATGCATGCAGAAACCCTCGCCTTGCTGACAAAACCATTTTATTTTCCGAACGTGAAGTATTTTAAGTAGTTGTCATGGTAACACGATAATTTTTTAAGAATATTTTTACAAATGAAAAATCCCCTATAAATATCACTTTTAATTACAAAATTATCAATTTCCTAAACATATATATGTTAGGTATGTTATTATACGTAATATAAGCTTGAATTTAAGGTAAAATTCAACCACAAACGCTTCGCAAAACGTTTTAAAATGTTCTTTTACTATAGAACTAAACTGCCTTTATCGATATCCTTTGAGTTCGAAATAAAATGATTCCAAATTCTCCCATGCAAAAAACTTTGCTTAGTGTAATAAAAAGTGTAATCAATAAAGAAACACTGAAATAATACGCTGTCTTGTTTCATATTTATACACAACGATCGGCTTTTAAAGTAATTATAGTAGGTATGTTATTATACGTAATATAATGCACTAGTCAATTGAAATCCCGGCCCCCCCGACCCCCGGGACAGGGCGGGGTATTAACAGGGGAATGGCCGTGGATTAACGCGAGTTTAATGCATCATTTCCCCCGGGGTACAGGGGAAATAACAAGTCAATTTATTAGCCGGGACTTTAACGCGCGGCTGATACGAAAGTGGACTGGAACGTGTTTATCGTCGTGGCAACATGGCGGAATCTTCGAAGACAGAGAAGATATTTTATAAACTTTTGTCCGTTTTATCATTGTTTCCTCATAGTTTTTCTTAAAAAAAAAGGAATATATTTTCTTTTTCCTGGTGATGACTGTAAAATAGTCGAAACGTAGACTTATTCAGTATCTTTTGATGCGGATCAAAGTTTAAGATCAAAAATTGCCTTCACATGTTGTGAACATTTTATACTTCAACGATTTCCCATTTCCCAAGTCAAGAAAATTTGCAAAGTGCGGGGCCATAGGGGCGGTAACTTTAACAGTCAATATTCCCCCGGTGGCGGGGAAATTACCAAAGTTTAACATTGTCAAAATGTTAATTTCCCCGCTCTTTCCCGGGGGTCGGGGGGCCGGGGTTTCAATTGACTAGTGCATAAGCTTCAATTTAAGGTAAAATTCAACCACAAACGCTTCGTAAAACGTTTGAAAGTGTTCTTTTAATATAGAACTAAACTTCCTTTATCGATAAACTTTGAGTTCGAAATAAAATTATTGCAAATTCTCCCATGTAAATAACTTTGCTTAGTATAATAAAAAGTGTAATCAATAAAGAAACACTGAAATAATACGCTGTCTTGTTTCATATTTTATATACGCAACGATCGGCTTTTAAAGTAATTACAGCGGAGATTACAGTATATTAAAAGCAAACAATGCATCAATATATTTAAAACAAACTTACCTTCGTTAACGTCGGCACCTTTACTTCCTTCTTTTAGCAATCCTCTTGCCTTTATTTCATCAAAAATCCTTTGCAATTTACAAAATCTTGCAAAAATGAAATATATTTGCAAGAAATCATCAAATCAATTTCGCTGTCGTCAATCGTCATGCAGCCGTTATAATGGCAATTTTAAATTGGACCAATCAGTGTGGGCTATTCACTACAGTCCGCTATATTATGAGATCAGTGAGGATGACCACCCACCGAAACACGCACAGTGACCCACGCCCGCGATATTTGATGAACTTTAGACTTCGCTAATGCTAGCAGCTGGAGCAGCTGGGAAATTTGTCTGAGCATGCGCCAGATTAACCAAAATTTCCATTGAAACTTGAAGATTTCCCCTAAGAAATATAGCGAAGACGCTCGCGGATGTTGTATATTTTTCGAGATATTTTTGAATGCCTGTTTAAACTTTATACTTTTTTGCTTGAGTCAAAGACAAAGTAAAATGTACTCTACGTTTCCAGTGTATAGAATATCTGTTTGAAGAGCAATAGAATATTATAATCCTCACACAAACAAGACTGGATCTGATGCTCGGTATAAAACGCCACTGAATCGTCGCGAGGACGCGAGCTTCACAGCCTTGTCAAACGCAAAACAAGTACAAATTTTGGTTCAAACAGAAAGAAGTTCAATGTTAATACGACTAGCATATATTCTATTCAAATACGGGCGGTTTAAAATGTATTTCAATTGAATTTTTAAAGCTTTTATCTATGGATATGATAATCAAACTGTGGCGAAAATGCCGGCTTTTGTTGACGCCTTGCGAATGCAAAATAACTCCCCGTAAACAACATATTTCTACAGCAAACTCTCGCTTAGTCTTCAGATGCACTTGTTTGTTCGGTTTTACGAGTTAAACAAGGAAAATATCCAAGAAACGCTGGTAAATTATCGTTGTCAAAAAACATTTCAGTGCCGAGGCAGTAGCAAGGTCTCAAGGGCAAGTCAAGTTGTCGATTTCATTACATTTTCATAAATTTCACAGTACTTCGAATGTTTTCCAACTCTTGCGTCATACAAGAGCAGTAAACGCACGCATTTCAAAGCGAAATAAGACCCATAAGCGGAATTTTTCAACAAACTTTATTGTTAAATTCTGTTTCCTATGTGCCTTGGGCGCAAAAAAATATGATATTTAATTTGGAGCAATAGGCAATTTTTTTTTCAATTTGGCCTGGTATTCCACCCTACCTATGTACTGACTGTGCTGCAAAAATAATCAAATATACTATTTTTAATTTCCCTTCATTGAAAGGATCTAATATTGTGGACCAAACTAAATCTTAATCAGCATATAAGGCTGCAAACAACAGCCAAGTATTAGCTGGGTAGTTTGCAAACTTTAAAAATAATTATACCTCAAACTTTGACCTCCAAAAGTAAACAAATAGCCAATACTGCACTGTAAATTGTGAGGTGTAAAATTTACCCCTATATATGGGGGTGTAGTTGAGTGTCCACAGAATCCCCCGATTTGGGGGTTAATAATTGAATTAATTATAAACAGGGTAAAAATTGCCCCACAGACTTGGGGGTAAAAAAGTTACCCTTGCATAAGGAGTAAATACCTTTTCACTCCATATTTGAGGGTAAAACATACCCTATTTATTGGAGTAAAAACTTTACTCCATTTTAGGGGGTAAAATAGTTTACTCATTCAAATGGAGTAAAATATTTTACTCCGTCTTCGGGAGTAAAAATAGATGTTCTCTGTCAGTTACATATGTATAGCAATTAATGGACAAAACGAGTAATCAAGCAATGCCTTGGTGAAAAATTTTAATTATTTTGCAAAGAATAATTACTAAATACAACGTACAGTACCATAACATAGATACAATAACGGACCGTTCATTATAGCAAGCAACGCTTTACTTCTTTACGTTCTTGGTTATAAATACCAAAACATTAAAATGGCATAACACATGCACAGTACATTTTTAGTGGAAATTGGAAAAAAAGATTATCCAATAAACTTCGCTAACATATCAACTCGAGACAAGCACGTAATACTACCTAATACTGCTTACTCTTTGTTCGTATACTGTACCAAATTTTTAACGAATGTTTGGACAGAAATGCGTTTCTGTCCGTTAGAACATTCCAATCAAAATAAATAAGAATCGATAAAATAAAAGAAATCTTTGTGTTCAACTGGGTAAGCAATAGAAAAAATATAGTAAACACAATACAAACATGATATTACTGTTTCTCCTGGGAGATGAGTTACATCTAGCAAAACTTGTCCTTCCACGCAAATTGCCAGACGATTGGGAACCAACGGGTTCTCTCCAACGCCCATGAGCATCGGAAAAGTTGTCCCACTCACAAAAGCTTGGAAATCATCGTCTTCCTAAAAATAAAACGTAAAAGTAGCATAATATTTTCCCACTATAAAAGAGATTAGCA